GTTGGCAACTGTGGCGTGTGGTGGCAGTGTTACGGTAAGCGTTGTAGTGGTGGTATTTCGAGGAGCGGTTATGGTGGGGATGGTGCTGTGTAGTGGACGCATTGCGGTAAGCGGTTGTATGGCGTGTAGTGCTGTGGCGGCATTTTGGTAAGCGGTTGTGGTGGGATGATGGCGTGTGGTAGCAGCGTTGTGGTAAGCAGTTGTTGTGGTGTGCAGTGACATTGCAGTAAATGATTATGATGAGGGTGGTAGTCTTTAGCCGCAGCTACGTAGTACATCCGTGACGCGTACACTTCCCCGTGGAATTCCTGAATACGCTGGAATTGGGGGTGTTTCCTGAACATGTCCTGCGCCTCAAAGTTGGGGTTCCAATCATTCTTTTACGGAACCTTTGTCCAGCAAATGGATTGTGCAATGGAACCCGTCTAATTGTCACTGAGCTGCACGAGAATGTCATTCGTGCTCGAATTGTTTCGGGTGATCATGCTCAAAATGATGTGGTCATTCCAAGAATCGATTTGATCGGGAATCCCAACGACTCGTGGCCATTTGAACTGAAGCGGCGGCAATTTCCTGTCCGACTTGCCTTTGCCATGACAATTCACAAGAGCCAAGGCCAAACATTGAAATATGTTGGGATATACTTACCCGAGCCAGTATTTTCGCACGGTCAACTATACGTTGCGTTCTCTCGGGTTACGTCGAACAAGAATGTCCACGTTTTAGTCCATGACGGTGACATACCAGGAGAAGATGGCATATGGACACAACAACACGGCCGTCGCTCTCGATGACATCTACATCTCGGCCCGAACAGCCCACAAAGTGGGAGCCAGTGGCATCTGGCTACACACCATCCACTCCAGTGACCATGCAGGCACTCCATATATGGCCCTAGATCTGTGCCCCGGCGACCACACCCCATCTCGCCTTACTGGGGCCAAGCCCATCCGCGTTGTCAACACCCGCATCCTTGCAAAGGCTGACATTGCATCCTTCGGCGTACACACATCCAAACTCCTCCGCGAGGGACAACTACCCCAACTCACCCCTGCACCCCCCCTAACGCCGTCACAGCATGGTCCCCCCAGGAAATCGGGGACTGGCTCGATGGCGCAATCCGCAACCTGTACGACATCCTCTACAACAGCGCGAAACTCAAATGGGGTGAAACCAGCCAAACCAGGAAAGCCCTCAACGGGACAGTCGCGATACAGCGAACCAACCGGTGCACCGCACAGCTCCGCCAACTGGTGCGCCTCCACGAGGCGGCCCCACGCACTGGCACGGAATACACCCGACTAGCCAACCTAGTGGAATGGCCCAAGTGGATCCGTGACCCCACCCTTCTCCCCCTCACGTGCTGGCACCGCGCCGATGCTATTGCCATAGGTGAATGGTGGACTACCATGCCAACCACACAGCACTCCACTCCCGACTGGGACGACTGGCTCAGACAGGGCCTCGCACGATGGACCAAGGTCTGCCGCAAACGTCGGGACTGGCGAACTACCAGCCTATGCCAAACACGGATGCAACAACGTACGGCTTGGTTTAACAGCAGTCAAACCCGGAACTTTCTCCGCTCGGCCCAGGGCAATACTACACCGCCCATCTCTATACAAAGCGTCATTGTCCGCCCAACCGATGGACCTCCGCGATACAGCTCCGACCGCGACGAAGTGGCGGCAGGACTCCTTCTGGACAACTGGATCCCCCCGGCGGAAAAAACAACGCGTCCCAGGCACGTAGACTCAGGCCTTGAGACCGACCGCCAAAATGTTCCCCATTTCGTCCGCGACTGGCTACTCCAGGACATGGACCGGCCCGACGAAGTTGCACAGGCCTTCCAATCCCCTGTGGGCACTACCTGGGACACCTACCACTACGATGAAGACATGCAAGCCCGCTGCGACTGCAGCCTACACACATGCGTATCCCCAGGATATGGGGGCGTCTCCCAGGAACTATGGATCGCTGCTCCCGCATGCATACGTGCCAGGGAACGGGTGATCATCAACCTCATCCTACGCACGGGCCTAGTCCCGCCGATACTCGGAAGAAAACAGATGATCTACCTTGCCAAATCGGACAGGACTTCCACCCTGGCGCCCCATCACGGTCCAAAGTGCTTTCAGCAGTTGAATCTTTACCGTTATACGGGACTACATCACCCCCTGTAGCCCCAACCACGAAATGCAACACGGCTTCCAGCGAGACCGCACAGTTCAGGACGCCTCTGTCCTTACCTCACTCCTTATCGAACGCGCCGAACGCCGGCAGGACGAACTATTCCTTATTTCTAAGGACTTCCTCAAATGCTTCGACAGAATCCCAGGCTGGGTCATGGAATATATCTACGTAAACTCGGTGCCCCCTCCTCCCCCGCCAACTCATGGCCCATTTCCTTGGGGCCAGTAAAATCGATATCCGCACGGCTTTCGGCTGGCTCGATGGCGGCATCCGGGAATTTGGCCTGGGCGAAGGTTCTATCCCAGCGGTCATCCGCACAGTAGCCCTACTCACCTCTGCCCAACAGCACTGGACATCAGCACTGACATTTATCGACGCTATCCATTGGCTACGTCGGGCTCCCCCGACCACTCTACTCCGCCCAGAAGAAATTACCATGACAGCCATCCCACGGCTACTTAGTGCCCCCACACACTGCCTCCACTGGGTCCAATCCTCCATCCCCACTTACGACCAATATGCCCTTGACACATGCGCATACCTTACGACACAGTTTCCAGCCATACACCAAGCTATCTCGGACTGGAAAACCTTCCCCACCATGACACACACCACGCGAGCCTGGGCAGCCGCCCTCACCCACCTCCATGCTCCCCGCCTCCATACTCAATGGTTCACGGCGCACTGGGCCGCCCTTCGCCGCCACTGGCAATCTACATGCACTACTAATGTGGACCACATACGCACCGCAGGGGAACTACCCTTCCTCACAGAGGTAAACAACAACATCCGGCTCAAACGCCGCTACCATGATGCCGCCCCCATTGGTCATGATCGACGCATCCGTGCCCGCAGAGCTCACCTTGCAGCCAAGACGCTCCAATGGCACTCTCGACGGATCTCCGCACTACCATCCGCCCTCCCCCCTCGCGTAGGCTACGCCGACCCTCCACTTCGGCCACCACGCCTGCCTCGGGACCCAGGGATACCTCCAGCGGCCTAAGCATCCTTATCCCCTGGAACCGCCACAACTAGGTTTGCAAGTAGTTAAGTCCGCTAGCTGCCGATGCAGCTAGTACGTGGCCGAGGCGATTAAGTGCCCGCTGAGTGATTTTAACTTTACAGCGTAATATCAATATCAATATCCAACCTCGATAACGTACGTGTTGGTACTTGATACTTCTGTTGTGCGCGTTGGAGGGTTGTCGGTGTTAACCCCCCTCCTGAATCGAATGGTGAGGTCTGATATCGTGAATTTTTGGTCGATATGCGACATGGAAATTGTAAGGTTACACCCTTAATAATACGTATTCGAGATCATAAATTTATGAGGGTGTTATGATTTAATTCAGGGAGGCATACGGCAAATTTTCTTATCGCGCAAGTCAAG